CGCTTCAAAAACCAAAAAAAAACGGTTTAAATATGTGAAGATTAGCCTGTTGAACAAAACATGTTGGCATCATAAAGGTGTGTTAGCCACAGATCTTTTCTGCAATCCAATGGAATTCCAATGACTTTTGACGAGGGAGCCCTTGCAATGCTAACTTTTGGAACGGCCTAAATAATACGTCTTCGTTCCACCACTATAGGAGTTTTAAAACAGTGTGTGAGTGTTTAAAGGTCTATACACTTCCTAATTGACCCAACCTTGGAATGTGGTGGTTGGTAAGATGGCTTGGGATCCCCTCATGGGATGTGTATGTATGTGTGTTCATGTGGCAGAGCAGAGAATGTTCTCCATTTGAACCCTTGGAGGGATTTTTTTCCCCACTCCTCCTCTCCTCAGGGAGCCTCTGCTCCACATTCTGACTCCTACTGAGACCCATCGACGCTCCCCCGACTCACTCTTGCTCAGTATTTTTGCACACACAGGATGAAGACCAACATGTACTAAAAGTCGTACACACACATCACAAATATAGCTATTACACTATATACACTGAGAAAGTAAGTTGACAGGGTCTCTAAAACATGTTGAATAAATCAAAAACGATAAGGCTCTCACGATAAGGCTCTTGTACAATGGAGGGCTGCAGTTTAACATACTCTACACGGTAGCCTACCATTACAATTACTATTGACAATACCGTGTGTTACTACATACAGTAGTATGTACATGTACATATAATGACATGGTTCATTGAAACTGCTGTGTCAGTGAAATTAGTTTACACACATACACCCACGCATACAATGAGTATCTTATCCACGATTTAAAAACAGAGCTGTCACACCGGCTTAAAGCTATAATGGAACAGAATAACAATGCTATTGTAATCAAAGCACAAGCACACACACACACACACACACACACACACACACACACACACACACACACACACACACACACACACACACACACCACACACACACACACACACACACACACACACACACACACACACACACACACAACACACACACACACACACACACACACACACACACACACACACACACACACACACACACACACACACACACACACACACACACACCACACACACACACACACACACACACACACAACACCACACACACCACACACACACACACACACACACACACACACACACACACACACACACACACACACACACACACACACACACACACACAACAACCAGCTGGGCAGCCAGGCTCTTGTGGCATTACATTAACCAGATGTGAGGGGTCTGTGGGTATGTGCGTGTTGGAGTGGGTGTACACATATTTATGTGTCATTGATCTGCGTCACAGTGTGTGTGTGTGAGTGTGTTTGTCCAATTTCCACTCAAATTAATGGTGCCTCTTTATAGGCCTTCTGCTAGAGTGGCACTGAATTACTTGGTGCTTCACTCTCGCACCTGGGACCCATTCCATGTTATAGCCACAGCTAGCTGCTAACTTGGGACCCATTTTCTACAACAGTATAGTTAGCATTACAGATACCAGTGTTTTTTTTCTGCAGAGAATTCATCGCTTACTAATATGGTGGTTCTCAAGCCAGCGCCTGGGGGCCACAGATGTACATCAGAGATTGCTGACAGTGGACAACACGTTGAAGTGAAACTTTGGCACTGAGTACTGAAAGGTTAAAAGTTCATGTTGTATTGCATGAAAATGTATTTGTGTCAAGTAAGAGAACTTTGTTCACATGTAAAAACCTCATCCTATTGAAGTTCATGTAACATATTCACTGTTTTGTCAGTCTGAAAATAAGATGTTTTTCTGTCTTGTGATATTTGTTATCACATGTTTTGCTGTCATGACGTTTAGTACATTCCTTAAGACATCTGTTAGCACCAGTTGTTTTTAAGTCAAAAAAAAACTTTGGACATCCACAATGGGAGTATTTACCGACACATTTTATACTGTCGAACAAAATGTGAAAATCCTATAAATATGCGTCAATGACATACCTTATTTCAGGATTCTAACCAAAAACAGGTACAAATCATTGACTTCTAGACAAAGGAACCCGGAAGTGCTAAAAAAGCTAACTCATTTCCAGGTTCAAAGACTCATTTCTGCACCATTTTATTGGGAAATTAAACTAAGTTGTCTACAATCTGTGTTCAAATGAGTATTGGCCAAGCAATGTGTTGTATTAATGACTGAATGGGAGCAATTTAGATTGTAGATAGTTCCCAAACGTCTTGTATTATATGCAGTGTTGGGACTAACGCGTTACAAGTAACGCGTTACTGTAACGCCGTTATTTTTGATAGTAACTAGTACTCTAACGCATTACTTTTTAAATTCAGTAACTCAGTTACCGTTACTACATGGTGCGTTACTCCGTTAGTTTTTTTATATAGTCAACAGCCAGGCGAACAGAGATGAGAACTGTACTTAAGTACAGTACTTGAGTAAATGTACTTCCTGTGTCACCTGCGGAGACGGGCTGTGGGCGTGTTTGTGTTGTTTACTAACAAGACTATCATGGCGGCAGCGGAGCTCAAGTCTAGTTTCTCCACCTGGAGATATTCTCACTATTTCACTTTTGTCGAGCACAAAGAAAAGAACGTTTTAGTTAAATGTAAGTTGTGTCTTGGCGGGTCAAAGATCCTATCTACTGCCCAAACCAGTAATTCAAATATCTTAAAACATCTGCAAAAACAACATGCTGGGACGAAGCTAGTAGCTAAGACCACAGAGACTCAGCCGACGCCACTCCACCTCCACCTAAGCAACAGCGGCTGGATTTTAACCAAAGGACTGTTATCCAGGGAAAAGTCGATAAAGCCATTGCACGGTATGTTGTAGAACACATGCAGGCTATTGCTACAGTGGAGTCACCCGCGTTCAGGGAGCTAGTTAGCATGATAGCATGTCCGGGCGGCACACGGCATATAGGACGGAAAACTTTTTCCAACTACCTGGAGAAAGAATATACAAAAATGGAAAGCCAGCTAATATCGATGCAATCCAGATTGCATATAATGCATGTCAAGTTGATCAACAGATTGTATTATTCTCCAATGCAATAACAGTACTGAAATGAAGGCTATAAGGGCATTAATGGGAGCCCTTTTTTTAAGTAACTAAAACGTTACTTTTCACAGTAACGCATTACTTTTTGTGTACGTAACTAGTAAAGTGACTGAGTTACTTTTGACATGAAGTAACTAGTAATGGTAACTAGTTACTGGTTTTCAGTAACTAGCACAACACTGATTATATGTATTTTTGTCATAATACATCATAGCTAGCTTACTACATCTGACAACCAAGATGGCTGATTTTTTTTTAATTGTTGTGAAGGGACTTGCTCAGGGACAAATACCATCAAACTACAAAAGGCATGAACACATTAACTCTCATGCAGATCCAACGTGGTGTGTGTCTATCCCCAGCAGGCTCTGTGTGTGCGCGTGTGTGTATGTGTGTGTGATGCCCTCCTACTAAACCGGCTCCCAGGGGTTCAAACAGAGAACTTAAAAGGATTCTTTAGTCCATGTGTTTTAATTTAGCCTTCTTCTCAATAATAACCAGAAAGCTATGGTCCCACTTACTTCATACACACATACACATCAGACCAACACATATATGAACGTACACAAATCCCTGCCTGCAAGTGCACACACATCCCGCTGGGCTGGGGGATTACTCTGCAATCTCAACCAGTCGTTCTCATGGGGAAAACATGTTTTATCATTTCATTTCATTTCTCTCTTCTGTGTTCCCTCTCACCCTTCCTCCCTACTTTCCTCCCTCCCTCTGCTTTCTCACTCAGCAACATGTAGCCATCCCTAGACTCCTGTTCTGAAATCACAGGCCACATCAGCCCTGCACTTTTGGTGGTGAGATTCTCTCTGAATGTGTGTGTGCGGGTGTGTCTGTGAGTGTCTGGGAGAGATGGAACAAAATACTAAGAACACATTTGAAAAGCTTAAATGTGTTCCTCATTTTTTAAAAGAACACAAATATAAGTATGGTAGGTACATCATGGCGTACTTATTTACTTACTGAGTGTATGATTTGACTACACGGCCAAGGTTAACCAGGCTCAAGTGGAACAAAACTAAAGGTCTAAATCTGAAAGAAAAGAAAAACACAGGATCCTCCCGTGTTTAAGATGGATCCTGCATGTCCAAGCATCCCTCACTCTGCTGGGATTGGGTGTCGACCCAGCGGGTGAATTAGAGGTTGCTGAGGCAGGGGTCTCACCATCTACATTACAGTCTCTGGAAACACTATCTTTAGCAGTTTCAACAAAGCCCTCCACCCCCCCTTCTCCTATTTCTTCATCCCCCATATCAAAGGTAAACACACACTTTCTCATATGCTAAGAGGCACACTGCCTTGCAGTAGCGAGAACGTGTGAATGTGTGTGTGAAGGTGTGTGCGCGCATGTTGGCTTGCTAAGTGAGCATTTGGATTAATCTGTAGGAACCAGATGCCCCCACCGCATTCCTTCCAGCCCCTTCATTAATTACACGGGTACCAATAACAGCTTTTGTGTGCGTGTGCATGTGCGTGTGTGTGTGTGTGTGTGGGGGGGGGTATTACATGCCTGTTACTTTAACGGCATTTTTTGTTTACATTACAATAAGTACGTGCAGCGTAACTTACCACCAAAATTATTTTTTAGTAAGTTTTCTGAAAGTTCTGAAAATGACCACAACAAAACGAAAATGTGATTTTTGTAAAATGCTAACTGCTAAAGGTGAAACTGCGAGACAAATATGATTTTCTTCCTCTCAAGTTTTATTTCCTTTTAACTTTATAAAATAAAATTATATTTAACATATAAATATTATATATTTAAGTGTGTGATATGTGTCATCGAACTGCAATAGCGTTGGACATTTAGCTGCTGTGGTTTTGTGGGAAACATCAGAAACTGTGACCACAGATTATATAAACACAGTACATATATCACAACAGCCACATTTACAAGCTTACCGGCTGGGCAGTGGTTGGTTCTGTGTTCAGTGAGCTCAGCCAGACAGTCAAAGTCATGCTGACAGTTGTCACAGGTGAAGATGTTCTCGTCATCAAGGTCATCGTCGCGGTCATCGTGCTCCTCATGTTCTCCATCCTCAGCGCCCGTCCCATGACCTTCTTTGAGATCTGCCTCTCTGTTGGACGCTGGGACTTCTGGGGAAACACACACAACGTTATGAGCATGGGTTCAGAAGCGTACGCATGCTTGTTGTTTGTTACCAGCTCAGATCTAATTGACATCTTCACTGTCCTCTATATATACTATGACTTTGTTTCTTATCGTTTGCGCTTCCATTTTGGGTTTGACATGCATTTACTGGTCTCTGTACCTGCTTTATTTGAATAATGACATGTGAAACTCGAATTAATTGTGATGTGTGGAACATTGCCCCAGTGTGTGAAGGAGTGTGTGTGAACGTGTGTGTGTGTCCTGGATTAGCAGACAGGGAGAGTGTGAGAGGGGACCAGTGGAAGGCTGTGTCGGCCCAATCCTCACTGCTCCATTGTGTCTCCATTTTCACACCTTATTATCACATTATAAACGCTAAGGATCCAAAAGGACTGACACTGAAGACACTGGCTTTAGAAGAGAGGAGAGGAGGGGAAAGGATGGTAGAAAAAGTGTGCTCTCTGCTCCTTTACAGATGTCACGAGCTTCTGTCTCAAATGATTGAACCTCAGAGCAACATCCAGAGAATAAATTGGGTTATTAGACAGCTTAGTTGAAAACAGACCGCTGCTAAGGAGAACAGACTGTTGCTAAGGACATTCAAAGCTAGTCATATCGATCCGCAGAAAGAAGTCCGGTCTATTGAGTTTTCCGTTACCTTCTCCATCTGAAAACCACATGGATTATTTCACTTATATTAGCTTTAACATATTTGGACAGCGGCAGTACCCTGATCACCATGTCGGTGTGTTTTTTGTCAATAGTTGTAAATAATTGCATTTATTTTAGCGGTTTTACAAGTTCTCAAATCGCTTTACATTACATATGACTTAAAGTGCACCTATTATACAATCTTTAGGCAATAGCATAGGTCTCAGATATATAAAAAACATGTCTATGAAGTGTTTTGCTCAAAATATGTTTCAAAAGTGCTGATTTGGGGTATAACGCTTGAAAAAAAAAGCTCCAAAATGGTGGAATGAGCTCCCCATTGACATCAGGACAGCAGAAAGCTTACACACCTTCCGGCACAGACTGAAAACTCATCTCTTTCGACTCCACTTAGAGCGATAGAACTATTAACAAAGCACTTATATACTTATAAAGGACTGGCTTATCTAAAGCCAGTTGAGTAGCACTTGAAATGTTTTTGCTCTATGAAACCTGATGTACTTATATGATTCTGTTTTCTTCAAGTTTGTATCTTGTTGGTCGAACGCACCAGCAAAAGCGTCAGCTAAATGCAATGTAATGTAATGTAATGAGGGCTGAGCTCATGCGGGAGATTCTACCGGGAGATTCTGCCGTGATGAAACGCCATATCATGGATTATCAAGGATTATTTCTCAAACAGTATGGAGCTTTCTCTCTTGCCGGTTATACCACAAGGTGAGTTCCTTTTTATTTCCTGCTTCTTCACACACATGCTCTCCAGTACAGATTAGCTCTGAATGTTAGCGATGCTAATGTAAACACCGACCATATTACGTCCAAAACAGTCGGGCATTATTTCTGATAGAAACTTTACTGATAGTGCTGTGTGTCCACATTTCCAATATTACGTCATATCGGACGCAAATCTGGATCAGCTCTATTTTACCCCCGTTTTTAGAGATTTGGGTACGGAGGAAAAGAGCGAGGGTTTTATTTTCTGACGCTGCGTGAGTTCCCTGACACACCGGGGACACATCTTTATGTATAAAAAACAACAAAAAGTGCATTTTGCATGATAGGTCCCCTTTAAATCAGACATGTTATACATCAATACTGTGGACAATACCCACAGGAGCAAATTAGGGTGAAGTGTCTTGCCCAAGGAAACAACGGCATGTCGACTGCAGTGGCAGTCAGGGGATTGAACTGTTTGAACAAAAAAGGTGTGAATATTCTAAAACGGGAAATCCTTTCTAAACGGCTAAAAAGAGGTTTGCAGAGGATACGATGTTTGTATACATTACGAGCACCTGTATTTAACAGGCATCTTAAATCTCTGTTACTGGCCATTACAGATAATCAATACACTCCATTACTTTTATTAAAGTGGACCGTCTTTAGTGAGTGCAATCGTGGGTCAAAAAAGATTAAGCTTTAATTCAGCTTTTTTTCCATTAGGAGCTACAAGAATTGTTTTAATGGGCAGAAACACTTTTTTTTCTTGATGTGCTATTTATGGCCCTTGAGATATGCCTTGTTGAATGTTATTCTAAAAAGAGTAACTGTATCTTAATCAACGAGTTTAAGTGAGAAAGTGAAACAGATTAGAGAGCGGTTCACAAATCCATTCCACTCTGATTTATTATGGGAGAGGTGTGATGGGATGGAGGGATGCTGGGAGGTGGGGAACGGGGACTGAGGTGATGGGGTGTTTGGGGGGGAAGACACTGATGAAGGGATAGAAGAAGGGATGGATGAAGGGATGGTGAGGAAGAGAGGGAGGGTGTTGGCCATCTGTCCAGTGGTGAGAGCACCGGCTGGCCGGGGAGAGAAAGTGGCCCCTTGGCTGACAAAACACACACACATACACACACTCGGTCACGGCCACGCTCACACACACACCAGGTGGATGCACGCTGGTCACAAAAACACACACAGATTTGCACACACTGGATATGTAGGTAGGGACACACCTGCGGACACATATCCGCGCACGCTGGAGTGTGTGCAGTTGTGTTGTATGGTTGAAAATAGTTGTACCAGATATCCCATTAATGTGTTCTTGAGTAAATTCAAAGCACATGATTGGATTATTAGCCAACGTTGCTTCCTTATAATGATATAAATGTTGTTATAAACTCAGGACAAAAAAAACAACTCCACTTATTGTTTGTTCTTTGTTAAAACTGCAGTAAAATGCTGCACATTAACTAATATATATATAAGGGTATCGGACACTCGGTACAGTTTGATCCATTAGAACTCAATGACAAAAATCCGGGCCATAAAGTACTTTGGACAGATCCTTTCATCTACCGCCGTTTATTTCTCAGCATTGTTTTTAAATGCTGTACTAAATAATTTTTGACTGTCGTGGATCTTTTCTAGAGTAAGACCGATACCAGTAACATAAATGCCTCCAATACAGATTTAGAAAATCTAGTAATTGCACAAATTCATTTCCCAAAAATATAGTATTGTTTATATTATATACTTCTTGTTAAAAAGTAATAGATATTATTATTATTTTAATTAGTTTTGGACGCACTGGTATCCATTAGACACCCTAAGACTCTGTCTAAAGGATTAAGATCCCTACTTTTCCTCCAATCTCTAAACTCAGTCATTTTAAAAAATAGAGACCACAGTGCTTGGAGTCGTTTGCTGAAGTATTCATTATTTCAAGTGTGGTTTAAGATTAAATCCACACAGTAAAAACGGGGAGGACATGAAAATAGAAGGGTTGTTTTAATTTAAATGAGAAATATGTACCTTTTGAATAAGAATTATGTTAACATCTTGGGACCAAATGACTCCACTGAGTATGGATTGGAAAAAATGCTCTCTCCAAATTGTTATACATTGTTAAATATTTGTTGTGCAGCATCTTCTTTATGTCTTTGAGGGGCAAGCATGCACACAACATGCACACAACATGCACACAACATGCACACACCGTCCCCAGGGTGCCCTGATGCCAGAGGTGAGGGCAGTGCCAACTCCAGTACATGCCAGCACAACCTGCTGTCATAGCAACAGAGGGAGGAGCCAGATGAAACCTCACCATCTTGCACCCCTCGGTCCTCATCTATCCCTCATTTTCCCTTTGACTGCTTGTAGTTTTCTTTTTTATTTGTGCAGTGGTGGGATAAAGGGAGAGGGAGTGAGATGGGTGTCAGAACAGAAGAAGATAAAGGGGTGAGAGTGGCTAACACAGTTGGTGGTGTTTTATATTTGCACACGGGTCTCCTCACATGGACAGGATAATTATGTATCCTCTTATAGATCTCAGAGTGAAGTAAATGGGGGGCTTTAAGAGAGTGCAGCCACTGTAAGCTCCTACTAGAGACTGTAGCTGTTATGGTGATTACCAAACTGAAACTGTGGCAAAAGACCTCCTGTCCAGGACACAGTGTGTGTCTACTTGGGCTGTCTTGGTGCTTTTTAGTACAAAGGTCTGGTCTAAAATAGTTCTCAATGAGTCACTACCAAAAGCACAGGGTTTAAAATCAAAAACTGAAATGATGGTATCCTGTTATGCTTTTTGGAGTTTCCTTTTCCTGTTGTGTGTTATATAGGTTTGTGTGCATGTAAATGATCTGCAAAGGCTTAAAACTTCACGCCAGAGGCAGTTTGGACTCCTTTGTTTACTTCCAGAACATAGTAAGATTACTATGTAACACTCATGCTTCTATTGGCTATAACTCCAACACATTGTTCGTGATTTGGTAAGGGCCAGGATATCTCTAAGCGGTCGACTAATCATAACCTTGCCAGCCAAACTTGCCGTTCCCTTTAAGTTGTGATCAATCATTTTCTGTCAGAACAAAGCACAAAACAGCTGTTGTCATTAACTGGGTTGTATTGTTATGTTGTCACTGTCAGATATCTTTGCAAGTATATATATATATAGAGATTTCCTTGACACCTCATTGGAGCAAAACAGACTTTACTGTTAATCTTGGTCTGTTTTGCAATGTGTTGGAGTTATTGGTTAAAAGTAGCACAATCAATGTTAGACTCATTTATTTTATAATCATTTAGACCCGGGACAAGGATCCCAAGGACAAGGAAACCCCTCAACATTGTAACAAACAGATAAGCAAGGTCTTACTACCAATTTAACTACTGTCTATTTTCTTTTAAATGAAAAAAATATGCAATCAGATATATTTGTATTCATAAAATAGCAGAGGTGGGACCAAGTCATTGTTTTGCAAGTCCGAGTCAAGTCTCAAGTCGTTGCGCTCAAGTCTGAGTCAAGTCTCAAGTCTTTGCACTCAAGTCTTTGCACTCAAGTCTTTGCACTCAAGTCTTTGCGCTCAAGTCC